CTAAGATTAAGAATTCCTGAAACCAAGATCATAAACTAGGGTATTGTTCCTCTAAGCTAACATCGTGACTCGTGTACTATTATCTCAGGTGATTGTTCTTCAGGCTAAGATCACTAACTTGCGTGCCAATTGTATCTCTCCTTCCAAAGGTCCTTAGTGACTTAATAGCTCAGGATGTTCCTTCAGGCCTTAATGCACCTGGCACATTCCTCAAAGGGGTGGGGGGACAGAGATTGTCCTTGAGAGATTAACCTCAGAGCCTGACGCCCTGCACTGTGGGAGTTTAGGCCCAACCTCTGTGCTCGGCAGTCCTCAGGTCATGAGTGGCCCCCCGCAGATTTTTTTTAAACAAATGAAAAGTCAATGTAGAAGCCTTTTAACCCTTGAGAGTGATGCTGAATCAAATTTCCTTGGTGTACCAAAAACACCAAGACTGATGCAATGGATAGAAGATACATAGAAATCTTTCTACTGCATGGTTCCTGACAGTATCATTATATAGATAATATTCACTGTTCTTAATTCAAGAATCATAATCCCCTATTTTTTTTCTTTTATCAGGAAAGAACTCTCTTCCCCTTAACAAAATGTTATGTTTATATGGTTCTCTGGTTTTATCCTCTTTAAGCAGAACAAGTACTAATATTGTGATTAAAAACAGCACTAGGGGGGTCAGACTGCCTGAGTTTCAGTCTGGGTTCTGCCATTTCCTAGCTAAGCAGCCTTGGGCAATATTGCTTAACCTCTCTGGGCCCCAGTTTCCTCATATAAAAATAGAACTGGTTAAGTAGGTCAAACACATGAAGCTCTTAGACCAGTGCCTGACTTACAGTAGCTGTTTAATAAATAGTAACTATGATCCCTATTTCACATGAGGAAGCAGGTTTTTAGAGGGTTCCTACATCCAGTAAGGACAGAATTGGTATGTAAATTTATATCCCTTTTCATATATTAACTCTGATCTTTACTCATCTGAAAATTAGATAATACTCCTATTTTACCCAGTAAGATAGGAGGGTAACTGAGGTTAAATAACTTGCCCAAGGTCACATGGTTTGTAAATGCTTATCAGGATTTCAACCTAAATCTGACTAATTCCAAGATCCTTGCTCTGTTTATAAACCTGGCTCTATCTAGTATGCTGGGGACTGTGAAGGATAAAAGCACATACAAAGACTGACTTTCATGTCTAGGTAATTTTATATTTATACTGGAGATCACTGAAGCATGAGAGTTGGCATTCAGGCTTATGGTCCAGTGGTGCTAGAGATGCTGAGTTACAAAAAGTCAAATTTTCTAACTCTGTGATGACATAGACACACACTAGTTCAGCCAGGCCTTAAGTCATTCTTCTCCAAACATACCAAACCCCGAAAACAGGCACACAGTGATCAAATTGCTACGTGTATGCATGAATTCCCAAACACATAGCCCAGACACATTTGTACATACACACAGCCCATAATTCCCCTCAGGCATCCAGAACACAAATCAGTTGTAACTAATATTCTATACTGTGTCTCCACACCTCATTTGGTATTCTAGAATGTGTCATGCATATGTAAGACCATTCTAAGAAAAGGTAATGTAGTAATGAACCTACCTTCATAGCTTATTCTCTGGCACTAATATTTTGGCCTTCAGTTTCCAGATGGGAAGTTGGTCTCTTGCCCCTGTTCTGGGTTCTCTGGGTTTACAACGACAGTGGGAGGGATGAAAGAAAGAGCCGGTCTCATGACTGTTGATTTCTGGAATGGGTGCCTGAGATCAGAGCGCGGACCTCAGGAAGAAGATGTGGGTGGGGGTAGTGCCTTCTTGCTGATCAGCAGAAGAATGAATAGAATGTCTTAGGGCAAGACATTCTTACGTCCTGTGAAACATTGAGATCCAGACAGAGGTGGTGATGTGTGTTCCCGGAGAGCCTTGGAACAAGGTATAGACAAGGCAAGGACTTGATCCTTGTGGTGGTGGCAAATCAGTGTTAGCTGGTGGTGGCAGCAAGAATACCCTTCCTGATTCTGAAGGGCACAGCAGCTGTAGAGAAAGAGAAAGGGTGTTGATAAGCCTCTTACTCAGGATGAAGCAGGGGAATCAATTTTCCCTGTTATTAGAAAAGAGGATGGAGCCCTGGGGAATCTATGTCCCTCTCTCATTAGTCTTTTGTGTGGAGGTGTCCAGAGAGGGCTCCCCCAGGGTAAGGAAGGGAAACTTCCAGAGGGAAATTTCCTTTCGGGTAGTGTCCCTGGCAGTGTGTGAAATTCCTTCTCACCGTCATCACTGCTCTTTTTTTTAACTGGTTTAGGATTTCATTCTCTGGTTGAGTGACCTTAAGCCAGCTGTTTAACCTCAGTGAGTCTCAGTGCCATTATCTGTAAAACGTGGGTAGCAACCCTTACCCGGGGGAGATGTTGTAGTTTCGATGACGTCATCCTCAGTTTTGAATGCAGCGTTGACCTTCATGTCATTGGTTTTGCCCGCTAACCCTCCTTTGCTGTCACCCCCCCCCCGCCTCATCCCCTTTGCTCCTCTTTATTCCTTGAAGATTTTGTCCCTGACTCACTCTCACTCTCTCCAGTGCTGCTACCATCATAATTCTCGGTGAATTTGGTATCCATGGAGATTAGACTTTATACTGCCTCCTCTCAGTTCCTTCCTCAGTGGGCATCTGGACATTTATCACTGTCCTTCACCTCCCTCACATCTTCACTTCTCTCTCTATATAGCTCAGATTTTCCCTGGTCAGTCATTACAATTACTCCTTTGCACACATACTATCAATGTTCCTGTTGAAATCCAATCCAGATCCAGTCCTTTCCCTACATTTGTTCAGCTGATTGTGGCTGGAGAAATAGCCATAGTCATGCTGAGAAGTTCCACTTTACACTCATGAGCACTAATTTGAGTTTTTATTTTTTCCAGTTTTATTGAGATATAATAGACATTATACACAATAACATTGTGTAGGTTTAAGGTGTACAATGTTGTGATTTGATACACCTATATACTGTGAAATGATTACCATGCTCAGGGCAGTTAGCACATTCTTCATCTCATATAATTATCATTTTGTTGCTACTCTCATAGCAACTTTTAAGTAAGCAGGACAATATTGTTAACTATAGTCACCACACAGCACATTAGGTCCCCAGAACTTACCATTTTGAAACTGAAGGTTTGTGCCTTCAGAACATCATCTCTCAACTTCTCTTACCCCTCAGCCCCTGACAACCAATGTTCTTCTCTTTGTATGAGTTTAATGTTTTTAGATTCCACTTATCAATGATGCTGTACAGTATTTGTCTTTTTCTGTTTGACTTATTTTACTCACATGATGTCCTTAAGTACATTCACGTGGTAACAAATGGCAAGATTTCCTTTTTTATGGTTGAATAATATTCCTTTATACATATACATATAAACAATATATATAAATATTCACGTATTTAAATATATAAAACGCACACACATATATATGTACCAATTTACATTTCCACTAATAGTACACCAGGGTTCTTTTTTCTCCACATCCCAGGCAACACTTGATATCTTACTTGTCATGTAATCTAACAAGTGTAGGGTGATATCTCATGATGTTTTGATTTGCATTTCCCTGTTGATTAGTGATGTCAAGCACTTTTCATGCTTCTGGTAGCTATTTGTATGTCTTTGGAAATATGTCTACTCAGATCCATTTTTTAATCAGTATTTTTTTCCCTAAAAAATGTCTATTTAAGTCCTTTGATAATTTTTAATTGGATTTTTTTTTGCTATTGAGTTGTATATGTTCTTTTTGTATTTTGAAATATTAATTCCTTATCATATATATGGTTTGCAAGTATTTTCTCCTACTGTGGACTGCTTGTCTTGCTGTGCAGATGTTTAGTTTGATACAGTCCCACACGCTGAGTTTTTATTTGTTGCTTATGCTTTATGTGACATATCTAATATCATTGCCAAGACAGATGTCACGGACCCTTTTCTCTTTGTTTTATTCTAGAATTATTATGGTTTCAGGTCTTACATTTAAATCTTTAATCCATTTCTGTTAACTTTTGGAAGTGGTATGAGAGAGAGTCCATTTTCTGCATGTGGATTTCCAGTTTTCCCAGCACCATTTATTAAGGGGACTATCTTTTCCCTGTTGAGTACTCTTGGCTCCCTTGTCAAATATGAGTTGACCACAAATACATGTGTTTATTTCTGGGCTCTCAGTTCTGTTCCATTGGTCTTCTTGATTGGGATGGATGACCAGTACATACTGGGTAGCTCTAAATGGAACCTAATAGCTTTGTGGAACTAACCTCTGGCTTTGGATCCTTCCTGGGTAGATAAGATGTTGCATCTTAGGATTTCCTTGGACTCAGGGGCATATCTGTATAACCCTCAATATGGCCCCTGCAGATTCCCTCTTGTCAAAAACAAGATGGGCTAGGTCAGTCTTTGACTGGTATGATCATTTGGCAGCTATTTTTATTCCCTCACTGGGACTTGAAGATGTCATTATTTTACAGAAGCTTTACCTAAATTTATCCAACAAGACCTAAATGACAGCCACCAAGCTATAAAAATCTTTTATATTCTGAAATGCCTTTAAGAAGAAAGGCAGTCTTACAAAATCCGATGGCTCTTAACATTGTTCTGGTCTCTCAGGGTGGTACCTGTGCTATAGTACAAACTGGATGCTGTGTTTTCACACCAGATGAGTCATCTACTGTCACCCACTTGGTAAGTCATATGAAAAAGCAAACAAATGTTATGAATGATCCAATACCCAGTCTTGGAGATCAAAAGGTTAGTTTGGCTCAGGTGATAGCTGGCTAAAATCTTTGCTTATGACATTACTATTGATTCTTGCAATATTAATTACCGTCTGTGTATTCTACAAGTTGTTAATGCTTTATATCTCTTGATGCTGTATTATGATGCCCTCAACAGGAATGATGATAGCTTGATGTCTGGAGATGACTGACCACTCCTATAACAGTTTTCCTAATGAAGATCCATGAAAGTCTTCTGTTTTGGATGCCACCTAAGATGCCCTTCCTTCTTGCTCAAATGTGCCCATAAGCTTTATGAAGCAGACCAGTCACACAACCACCCCTTTCTGTCCTCCATGGGACATGACTTTCTGAGAATGAGCCTTCCCAGAGTCAAGGAAGTTAGTGCTGATGCAAAAATAATATAATAGTTGATCATAAAGATATTTATTGGACCCTGACCCTAAATAACCCATGACAGTCTATCCCTTAAGGACAAAAGTTTCTTTTTAGTGTCAGAGTCAATCATAATTCTTGCAAAACAATTTTAACCACCTTGTGGCTTTTGCCCTGACTCTTTCTCTTTCCTAGAACACTCTTTTGGTTTTACCAGAATCCGTGTCTCTCAAACTGCAATTTCTAAGACCCCCAAAGAAAGCTTTTTGTTTTTTGCAGCCTAGTTGTTGATGCTAGTTCAACACCTTGTTACCCAGCCCCCTGGCAGGTGATGTTGTCAGTCCTAGCCGTGGAGAGAGGAAACATGCTCAGGAAATGCTCACACATACCGGTTGGGTGTGGTGGGCAGTGGTGATGACAGTTCTGGTGGATGAAGACTGATAATGTTGTATATCCCTATAGGGTGTGGGATGGGGTGACGAGAAAGGAGACAGGGAAGGGAGGCTCACAAGGGAGAGATGGAGTGGGTCTGGATTTGGATGAGCTTGAGGGAGAATGAGGAGGATAGAAAAGCAATGCTGAGTGGAGGAGGAAGGCAAATCCAGATCATGGAGAATGTTTAGTATAAAGCACACTGTGGGGCCTTGATAATTACTTGCAGATTTGAAAGACAGATGGGGACTGGCCAGAAGAAAGGAGAGTGAATAGAAGAGTGGGTGGTACCTCTGAAGCCCAAAGTCTGCCCCTAGATCCCACTTCCTGTTTTTCTCTGCTCTCAGAGGACCATTCCGGGATTCTTCCTAGCAGCAAGCCAGGCCAGCTCCTCCTCCTCTTTCCCCTTACATCTCTGGAGGACCCCGGAGCCCTATTTCTCAGCAGCGTGGCTCACTGACTTGCCGTACATCTGAGGTCATGTTGAGTGAATAGTAAATTTATAGATTATCCTCCTTTATAGCACATGCATAAGCATGAATCTTTTTGTGCGTGTGTTTGTGCCTCATGCTAAGGCAGAGAAAGTCATGCCTTTGATGACTTCTTATTTTTAAACAGCTGAAAACTGTTACACAGACCGAACCCCCCAGGCCATCGGTGCCCACTAGCCTACTGAGAGGACTCTGGGTATCTCATCCTTTCTCACAGAGATCATCTGTATATGCATGTCTCTGGGTGTATATATGTGTTTATAATTGTATAGTTCTAGTATGTGTGTGTTTGTGTCTCGTTTTTGTTTAGGAGTCCCATAGCTCATGGACAGATTTAGAAGAACTCAAAACCAAATAATACATATTCATGTAGTAAATGGAGCCCCTTCCCAGTCTTCAGGCTAATGGAAGGGAAGAGTTACAAAGAGAGCCCAATGATGGAGAAGACGAAACAGTAAAAAATTAAAAAGTAGCTTCTGTTTGGTTTGGGGGTTTGTGTGGTTAACTACTATTGTTAAAGCAAACTCATCACATTAGCCTAAAGTTTGTTTTTTTCCAGCTTATCTGAACATATCTTCTCTCAACATGTTTCAACTTCTTGCAACAGTATCTGCCTAAGTGTTTTTAACTCCAGTGTTTTTCTGTAGGCCCTATTTCAGCATTCACATCTTACTTTGACATACTTGTTCTTTACTTACTGAAAGGAGATTTACAGTGGATTTATAATTTTTAAGCAAAATACAAGGAAGAACCATAAGTCAAGAGGAGAGATGACATAGTTTGAGCCTCAAATCTTCCAAGATACTACTTCAAAAGTCGAAGAGCTTGTCTTCTCTGTCAAATCCATTTCTCTTTTGTTGAATTTCTTGTGCACAGCACATTTCCTGAAGAAACTTGACCTTGATTCTCCCCTGAGTGAATTTCTGTGGGGCAGCTGCCAAAGGGGCTAGTCTGGGGAGCAGGCAGTAGGAAGGAGTGGCAGGTGCTGTTTGCACTTCCTCAGTTGATAAGCTGCACTTTTATCAGTGCTGCTCCCCTGGGGAGGGGGTGTGGGGTGACTGTAATAACCTGGGACAGGCACCAAGTACCACATGTCTCTGTCTCCCTGTAGCACCGGGCACGTTGCCCTGCCTTACCCCTGGTGCTTGAGAGTTATCCATTACGTGATCTATTGACCTCTACCCCTCTCTGTGCCAGGACTCCGTCCTCTACTCCTGAGTGACTCATACTCATCCCTCATAATTTAACTCCATATTCTGAATCTCTGGTTCCAGCCTTCTCCTCATGGCCGGCCCTAAAGTCTGAACTAGGTGTTCCTTCTTTGAGCTTCCCTGAGACCTTCTGCTTATACCTATCACAGCCTAATCAGTGTCTCTATATATTTATTTTATTTTTTATATTTGTTTTTGGTTGAGGTGTAGTTGACACATAACATTGTATCTGTTTTAGGTGTACAACATAATGATTTGATAAATGTATATATTGCAGGATGGTCACCACATCAGTTTAGTTAACATCTAACACCACACATTTTTCTCTTCTGCTGAGAACTTTTGATTTACTCTCTTAACAACTTTCAAATGTACAACATAGTATCACTAACTCTTTAGTTTTCTGAACATAATTATAACAGCTGCTTTGAAGTCTTTGTTACATCTAACATCTGGTATTCCTAAGTGATAGTTTATATCAAGTGTTGTTTTATTGCATATCGGTCACACTTTCCTGTTTCTTTGCATGTCTCATGATTTTTTGTTGATTGCTGGATATTTTAGACGATGTAGCAAAGACTGATTCTGATCCCAAGGGTAGTTGTTGCTGTTTATTTGGTTAATGACTTGCTTGGACTGATTCTTTGGGCTGTCTTTTCCTGCACTGTTAGCCATGTGTTTTGAAATTTTTGTTTTCATTTTTAAGGCTTGTTTCTTAGACATCTCCCCTGTATCAATCTAGTTTGTTGGTTAGTCAATGATTGGTTAAAGGTTGTGCTTAAACACTTTGGGACGTTGAGTCTTCCAGCCTTAACTGATGGCTCTGTGTGGCTTGGAGAACGCATTCAAAGCTCAGGCCAGTTTGTAAATTTGTCTTGGTTTTTACTTTCTGGGTTTGCAAGTCCTCATGTTCAGTCCCAGATGAGTGTCTTCCTCAGGGTGTAGCCTTGTGCACGTACACAGCCTTCAGATCACGAAGGATATTGTAGGATTTTATCAAAGCCCACTTTGGGTGTGTTACGTTAGTAACGGAACCCAACATCATTAATTTGGTATCATTGTGACACAGTTTCTTGCTTTCTGTCTTCTGCTACATCACCATAACCTAAACTGCTTTATAAAACTCACAGGCTGAAATTTAATGTGCTGCGCGCACACCAGTGACTGGCCCTTCCCGTGCCCACAGGGGCCCTGCAGATTCAGCCGCAGCTCACGGCTGCCGGTGCATTGGCACACGCACTCGGGCAAGAGGTCCTACCAGTGCCGGGACTGTACCAAGTTTATCAGCCATGGTGCCAACCTCATTCTACACAGGCGAGTCCACTCCCGGGAGAAGCCCTGCAAGTGGCGGGGTTGCTTGCGGAGCCTCAGCGGGAGCTCGCACCCTAGCATCCAGCAGAGGGCGCCCAGGGGCGCGGCGGTGACCGGGACAAGGGCTACAGCAGATGCTCCGATCTCCTCACCCGCGGCAGGGGCCATGGGGCGGGAAGCCCTAAGGCTGCGGCGTGTGGGGCAAGAGCTTCAGTCAGAAGATCAACCTGATCATGCACCAGAAGCTGCGGGGTGGACAGCCGGCGGGCGGTGGCACTTGGCGGCCTGTCCAGACCTGGGGCCGAAGCCTGAGGCTCTTAGCTGGGGCTGAGCAGAGGCGACCCGCTTTCAGGAGCCTGGTCCTGGGCTTCGCCCCTCCCGGACTTCAGCCTTTCTCAGTGGGAGTCGTCAAGGGAGGATTTGGAGCCACACTAGGGTGGAGGTGCAGTGGGGAGCTTAGCTGATGCTCAGTAGCCGGCCTCTGCAGGGATCTTGTCGCTCTCAGGCAATTCCCTGGGGTTGCCGGGTTTCTAAGCAGGCTTCTGTTCTTCCTGCCTCTTCAGAGTCTCCCCCTGGCTTCCCCCAAGAAGTGTGGGAAATCCGAGAGAGTGTCAGACAGCTAATCCCTAGGTCCCTGGGTCCCCAGGGAATGATCTGGGAGCAGGAGATATGAAGCGAGAGAATGGCAGGTGGTGTGGGATCCAGTAAAATCTCTCTGTAGAGTTTCCTCATCTAACTTCCCTTATCTTATTTTCTAAGGTTTTCACTCCCACTCCTTAGTGACTCATTGGAGCCCGTCTGGTCTACTTCCTGGGAGACATTAAAGAGGGAGGAGGAGGTAGCCCCCTTCTGAAGTGGTCCCTTCTTAGGTTTCCACCCCCAAATGACCTTCTGAGCCCTGCAGCTCAAGTGCCCTCATTTGCATCAGCCCATCAACTTCTCTCTTCTCCTTCCACCCAAATCCTCAGTGTTCGATTGAGATGCCAGGAAGTTCTGAGCTTCGGTGGGTTGGGGGATGGGATTTGCTTTAGAACTGTACTTGGCCTTTGCTCAGTGGTGTGATTTCCTGCTCAGGTTTTACATAGGGCAGGATGTGGTGGGAGTTTGGGTAGTTAGAAAATTAAAAAACAACAAACTGAAAAATTGTGCTCTACACTAGAATTTGACACAACATTGTAAAATGATTATAAATCAATAAAACAAAAACAAAAACAAAAACAACACATTTTGTCTTTCACAGAACTCAAAACTCAAAAGTTGGGGTAGAAGTTCAACATAAAGGTGATGGGGGTGGAGGGTGTTAGTGGCCCAACTTCCTCTTAGCACTTCGTATTTCCTGGTTGAAGTGGTGTCAGAAGTGATGTGTTATTGATGCAGGAAAACAGATGTGGGGCATGAAGAGGGCTGTGTCCCAGGCTTCAGTTGAGCCCCTGGAACATGCCCCAACAAGTGTGGGTCCTTGGCTTCGCGCAGGAAAGAATTCAAGAGCGAGCCACAGTTGAGTAAAGGTAGATTTATTCAGAGAGATACATTGAAAAGCAAGAGAAAGGCCACAAGGTGTGAGGGTTGGGTGCTCAGACTAAAAGTACGTACACATTCCACAGACAGAGTGTGGGCTGCCTCTGAAGAGGGAGAAAGAGAGGCAGCGGCCGCGAGGCACCGTGTTGCTGGTTTTTTATGGCCTTAGTGTCTTCATATGCTAATAAGTGGAAGGACCAGTCTAAGTAGCCTGGGGTAGGGGCTGGGATTCCCAGGAATTTGGCCATTTCCCACTC